GACAAAATGGGTATGAGATGATCAAAGGATTGGTAAAGCTTGCAAAAGAAATTAAGAATGACAGCATGTAATGACAATATATAAATGAGAACCGTAAGGTTAGGGCCCATACACTGTGCCAAGTCCAGGATAACATCTTGGCTCTATGTGTATGTGAGACGCTTCGTATCCAAGTCTCATTACTTTTTTAAAATAGTAGTATGAACTACTATTAAATATGAACTACATTTTTATGTTCCTTTTAAATATGTGACCAGACTGCTGCGTAACATAACTTTATTCTTCAGTTTGTGTGGTTAATGTGTTTTTTTTTATGGAACCTTTTCATTGTCAATCTACTGTTCTCTTAAGCCGGGGAAATCACTACTCCTGACGGTCGTCGACCATCTCGATTTAATGAAGGATGCAATGCCACGACGCGCGCGCAGCGCAACGCATCGTCTATAATTATGACCCGTTCATACTGCCACTAACGATCAGCAGACGGATTCGCTTTTTCTGCGCTAACAGGGAGTGGAGTTGGATTTGCCAGCTTTACGGGCATCAGCGCCCTTCGTATGAACTCTGATTATGAAGCCTAGGGAGGGAGCGACAGCTGTTTTCAATCACAAGGAAAAAACACTATGATTTGAACTCAGTGCCTTGGTATATTTTTTATATTTACTGTAATTACAATATTTTTTTCATTTAGGACAATTTGGAGTATCTACATTAGGCCGACCTGGACAAGGTATGTTTTGTTATTTGTTCCAATAATTAAATAATGACATATTACAGCCTACAGCATTATAACCGATAATATGCAATTGTCATTATAATTAATGTTATCATTATTATCATTATTTATTGTTCTAATTGTAACTTTAAACACCACCACCGTCCTCACCATGGTCATCGACATTGTCATCATCATCATACATCAACATCATCATCATCATCATCAACTTAGTTATTATTATTTGTCACATTATGAAGCCTATGGAGAGCATGATAAAAACACTTGGATTTTAACTCATAAAACAGTCACAGTACTTTTTAGCATTCTGTATAAATTGCTACGCTAAATATACTATTTGAGTATTTAATTATCTATTATCATACATTTTAATTATCAAACACGTGGTATATTTTTATTATCAAACATGTGGTATATTTTTATATCTACTGTAGCTACAGAACTATTTTTTCATTTAGGAAAATTCTTATTACCTGGATTACCTTCACGACCAACTTCTAGTGTGAGAAAGCGTATGTTTTGTTCTGTTCCAAAATTTTAATAACAACACATACAGTATTACAGTCTACAGCATTACAACTAATAACATGGAAAGTTTAAATCATTTGCAGAGGTTTTTTTTATCCTTTACCTTTGTCATTTTCCAAGCTTCAATAGTCTCCAAACTTGATGTAAGCTAAGACTGCTATGCACCTAGTAAAAAAAAAACCAGGTCATTGTACATATTTAAACAAAGTCGGTTGTCGCTTACTTTGCGTCGCCCTTCTTCGGTACTTTCGGACCTGTCTGACAAATCCTGCTACCGATAATAAGATGGGGGAAATAACTAATTTAAATTCTTTCTGAATACAGATTTTATTTCAATATGTAAATAAATATTTATTTCATGAGACTTTTATTCAGCTAGCATTCCCAGTCTTCTATACAATTGTTGATTATTCATTGTTTATTCATGAACACAAGTGATCTACTTGACGTAAGACACCTTATTTTTCATTACCTCAATTTAATTGGCTAGTTTAAGTTTCGATTTTAATTTAATTGGTCGGTTTTTATTTGCTTTTGTTATACTTCTGTAAATTATTTTATATGGATGGTGGGATTTTCTCATTAGTATATTGGAAAATAGTCCTAGATCGAACGTTGAATCTCAAAATGTCTCTGCGGTCTGTTTTCGGAGTTAAAGCCCCATTCCCGGCAAAATTTCACTAAAAATGACTTTTTTTTAGAAAATATGCATTTGCATTACTCCAATTATTATAAATCATGGAAAAATATTGGCATGAATTTTAGTTTTACGCAAAAGAATAAAAAAAAATGAGAAATACAGACTATTTCTTATAAAATATTACCATTTTCTCGACGAATTCATCGTTACTAGGCAAATTCAGAGGTTGTAGATCGCATCCACTTGAATACTCTCGCTTTTATGTATACTTTATACAGTCAATAAAGTGCGCCCTCTCTAAGAGACAGGGATATCGCTTTGGATAGCCTCTTTTAGAAAGGCGGATAGTATGTTGACTGAGAGGTCTGTCTCTTATACACATCTAGATTAGGCCTAGCCAGCAGCGTTGGATAGGCTAATGTTTTCGGCGCCTACGATATTTCTTCTCACGACCTATCGCAAAATCAACATGAAAAATTCATCCGCATTTATTTTTTGTGTGGAACACAAAAAAACAAATTTCAGTCTTATTTTACATTTTTTTCATTCTTAGGAATGTCTAAATTCAGTTAAACTAGCAATTCCGTATTATATTTATAAATCTTTATAACATTATACAAAAATTAGATTTTTCTTAAAAATTGAAATTTTGCCGGGAATGGGGCTTTAATGTCTTTTTGTTAGTAATATTTACACAAAGTCGGTTGTCGCTTACTTTGCGTCCCACCCGAGAACAACTTGCAATTTTTTTCGCAGTTGTTTTCAAATGTACTGAGTATTCGGTACATTTCCACGTCAGGTAGGGCAAAATTACACCTATACATGTTTCTCCTGATGCAAATCCAGTTATTGTCTATTATTCCATCACGTCAATAACAATTACTACCAACACTGCAGTTCCCGCTGCTTACTAGAACTCGGATTCAACCCTGGCCATCAGGCGCAAGCTCGGTGGTCTAGAGGTATGATGCCAGGCTAGTGATCTGGAGATTGTGGGTTCGAGTCCCACCCGAGAACAACTCGCGATTTTTTTCGCAGTAGTTTTCAAATGTACTGAGTATTTGGTACATTTCCACGTCAGGTAGGGCAAAAATTACACCTATACATGTGTTTTTGTTTTATATAATAGGCCTACATAGCTGCATTTATTGATGTATATTTGACAAATTGACCTATTATTATTATTATTATTATTATTATTATTATTATTATTGTTGTTAATAATACAAATATTGAATTGGTTACATTTATTAAAAATAGAAAACTTTTCAGACCAAATTTATATATTTACAGGGAAAAAGTTTGGTTCTAGTGGGCCTACGGGACCTGTTTTGTCCTATGGCGGTAAGGATGTTTTTTTTCATTATATAGGCTTATGTTTCATTTTAAAAATTGATAGATTATATATAGCAGTTAAACGGCAATTTCTGAATGGCTAATGTTCATTCTTAGCCACTCGAGAAGCATTCGGAAGATTATATAATCATAGACGTCATTGTTGATTTTTTGTTTTATTTGTTGAAACACATGTTTACGATATGCCCACAAACAATGTTGGGTTCTTTGAAGAACATCATGAGTAAATAACATAACATAAATGACTTAAATAATTTAGCGTGAATTGAATTAATTCATTGAAATTGCCTTAAATATGGGGTGGTAATATTCTAAATGAGTGTTTTATACAAAAAGCAATTGATTATTTTTATTTACAATGGATAACGACATATGTGTCCATGCTCATTAACTAGTAAACTTAAAGCAATTAAAATATATCTTAATGAAATCATACTGTCCCTCCCTCTGCGTGATCAGTTGCTACTTTGAAAACTGGCCTCAGATAGGATGGGTTCCGGGATTGGGGGTCTCGAATTGGAGGGTGGAATGTAATAACATTTAACAATATTACCATTTACATAAGGTGTTTAGTATATAGTACGTCATTAACCTAATCTTGTTTCTTTTCTTTAGGCCGTAAAATGCAGACATGTAAGTATTTGAAATTTGTACTAATTAAAATTTATTAAAATTTTCTAAAAATAATAAAAAATTATTACTATATTTATTTATTAAGAATATATTTTACAAATTTAAAGTGTTGTTCAAGTTGCATATATAGATAGATAGATAGCCTGACATGGACAGATATTCAGTTTATTGACTTCCATTTAAAATACTTCAAGTAAAGATACTAGAAACACAAGATAGAGTTCTTCAAAGAAAAAAAGTGTTCCACCGAAATAAATGGCGGGAATCCGTTCCGCCAAATTTTACATCACAGTGAATACCCGCCGGTGAATATGTGCAAGGGCGTCGATCTGCGGTTGAAAGTGGGTGGGGGGGGGGAGAAAGAATTGAAAAATAAAGTCTTGCGCCGTGGGCACAAGCCTTGGTTGGATACCAGGGGGGCGAAGCCCCCAAGAAGCTTTGGCGCCTATAGCCTTTTAATTGATTTTAAGCAATGCAATTAACATTTATTTCCATACGAAATTTTCAAAATATCCAGTGGCGGATCCAGTAATTTGAAATAGAGCCGGGCCCAGAGGGGGACTTTTACAGATGGAGAGTGTAGACCACCTCAGCCCTACCATGGTTGGGGCTGAGGTAAGAAAATTTGTGATTATGGCACCTCTAGTTGGTCGGAAATGGCACTCTCAGACTAAATTTCAATATAATTTTTATTTTTCTCCACTTTTAAATTTCGGAAAAAAAAAAATTAGGGATGGTGGGCCGGCTGTGCCCCTTGAATCTGCCACTGAAATACTCATCATAAAAAGTTTTTAAAATTATCCTTTTAGTCATAATTATTCCCGCTTCTTATATATTTTGTGCAAACTACAGTAACATTCATAAAAATAATGATTTATTAACTACTGATTAGCTTGTGACGTATTCAAAATTCGAACCATAAAAAACAAATAAAACGTCGGCATACGTTGGTTCTATATGCTACAGTGTGACAGGGCTAGAAAAAAAATTAGAACGGTCGGCATACGTTAGGTCTATTCGCAACTATGTGACACGATGCGAGACGGTTGGTAACTATGATTATGTGTATTGTTATTGTTATTGTTAAACACAGATACCTTTTTTTGCATACAGTACTAAAATTACATCTATTACCACTCTTTTTATTATTACTATAATAATAATAATAATAATAATAATAATAATAATTATTATTATTATTGTTGTAATATTTGTATATTATTGTTATAATTGCTATTACCGTATTATTATTATAAATATTATAATCATTAATATTATTATCATTAGTCTTAGTATTATTTTTATAATTATACTGTAAAGGGGCAGTAAGGTAAAAGGTACTGTAATGTGTTACAATGTTGCTATTATTGTTAAGCAAGATTGTTCATCTTCATGTAATTTGATGAAGATCTTGATGATGGTCATGCAATACTTCAGTGTTTGTGTTTTGTATTTGTTATTGCGTATACAGTACAGTATTTCTATGTAGGCTAATCATGTATATGCAATTACATACACGAAAGAAATGTTGGCATTAAGACCTGTGACTTTTTTTTTTTAACAAATACCCAGTCTCCGAAGGGAATCAGAGGATTTTGGCATTTCTATATTGTTTAATTAAATTGTTTTGTAACCATTATTATACTGTACTGCAATTAACAATCATCACCACCACACTGTTATAGGCTACAAGCAAAATTAAAAATCAACATGAAATTCAAGTGTCAATCAACTTTTTATTTAATAATTATCTGTATCATTAAAAGTTTACAAAAATGTAAATAAACAAATACTGTATAAGAATTGGTCTAGTAAAGAGTTATTGTAGTAACGTCAGCCTACACCTAACAATATGCACAATAATAATAGCAATAATAATAATAATAATAATATTTTAATAACAATAATTTAACAATAAAAAGTAATAATAATGAATTTATATATAATTAATCAAAATAAAACAATAATAATAATCCATTTAATATGTTGCATCTGTTGCTTGCATCTACCTATTCACTGCTGTTAAGGCCATATACGACTACTGTATTATGGTTAATGAAAGTATTTTGTGTAAGCCATTTCTGTTAATTGAATAATAATATAACGTACGATGTAATGTACTCACTATAAATATTTCATCCGTGTCCCGGATATCTTAATGGAATATTTATAGTGAGTGCATTTTACATTGTACGTTATATTATTATTTAATTAAGAGCCGAAATGGCCTACACAAAATACGTCAATAACCATAATATAATAATAATAATATAATAATATTATTATTATTTTAATAATAATAATACAAATGTGCTTAATAAAATTAGTTCATAGGCTACCATATTCAATGCCATTCATTCATGCCTAAATATTATGTAGGTAGGGCTTAGCCCTAGCGAGCCTAGAATGACAAGTATAGGCTAAAAAAGTAAGGGCCAGGGCCTGAGTAGTAGGCATAGGCCCTGCTCTAAACTAAGTAGGCCTAGCCTAGGCTGTACAAATACCTGTCTGGGTTTCTATTTAAATTAAAGTTTTTCTTGCTCGTTCTACTTTGCATTTGTCGGTAAATCGTGCGTAGCATTGGCGATGGTAGCCAGCGTTATAGATGTCACTAATCCTATCAGTACTACAACTAATGCCTAGGCATACTTCACTGTCCAATCCGAGGGAGCCTAGCCCGGCGGCAGCAGGGGGTAGGCCTACAGCAGTTAGGCCTAGACCCTCCCTAGGCTAGGCGTGCCTAGATCATTGGAAACGACGATTGAAATTAGTGTTTTGATGGTTATTTCTTTTTATCCAATGGGAATTCATATATTTTATATGAGACGAATCTATAAATATTCGGCTTTCCCTTTACTGGGGGAATGAACAACAAGATATTTGATTGGTGAACAGCCAAATTGCCAACGAATTCCCTAAAAAGAGGTAAAAATGCAGCCTCTACGCGGTGGGCGGTCAGCATAGCACCAATCGAAAAGTGAAAAATGACGGTGACTTTTTTCAAGCAATACAATTGAAACAAATACTAAAGCAATCAGAAAAGGATTGCCTTCCAAATACAGAAGGGAACCTAAAAATCCAACAAGTATTTGCTGAGATACGACTGTGGAAAGACAAAAAATGACCTAAAAACAGCTTATGTCAGCGTGAAACACTTTTGCTAGGCTATTCTCGCTCTTAAACGAAAATGTTGCGAGAAGAACCATGTCCAAGTGAAATTTAAAAAGGGGAGAAAAGCAAAAATCTCTTGATTGATTTTAAAAGTAATGTACATGCAAAAAGACTAAATTAATCATGTATTTGAGCGTATCGGGACTTAGGAAAAAAAATGAGAACGTTCAGCATACGTTAGGTCTATTCGCTACTATGTGACAGGGCCATCCTCAAATACGCTCAATTTTTTTGGCAAAAAAATAACATTTTTGCGTGAAAGACGAACGCCCAACGAATGAGAAACGAATGCTCATCGTACAACTAGCGTCCATTTAACGAATGACGCGTTCGCCCAACGAATGTTTAGCGTACACAACGAATGCCCAGTGAATGTCACACGTATGCCTAACGTATTGATGCCTTGTAAACGTTGATGTAGGTCGGTATACGCTGAGTGTTCGCTAGCCATTCGTTACTCATTAGTTAGACAAACGCTATGAATAAGTTGCATTTGCTATGGCAACGTTTCAGATGGGATTGAACGTGTTTGGACGACCAACGGACGAACAGAAAACGTAAACCCAACGTGCACCCAACGTGCGAAACGGTCAAACAACGAATGCTCACCGTATACATAGCGTATGTAGAAGAACGTTGTCATACGTTAACAATTTTGAACATGTCCAAAAATTAAAATCGACCCCAGCGTACCTCAGCGTACCCCAACGAACAGCTAACGAATAGGCCTACAACGTATGCCAAACGTATTACGAACGTGTCACGAACGAATGTCAACTTACGCGAACGTAAACCGATATAATAAACGTCGGCATACGTTGGTTCTATACGCTACAGTGTGACAGGGGCTTAAATTTGTCACGAATTTAACAAAAGTCCATGCGTGATAACGATTTATCACAAATTAAGGGGAAAATGTATTTAAAATTTGAAGAAATTGGTTGTACAGTATTAAAACTATAAAAAGTAATGCAGTAACTTGAGTAATTAGAGAGAACAATATTTCCTTGAAGGCCCTACTTATTTCAATAACGAGTTACTAAAAATTGATCAGTAATGAAATATTTGTGTAGGTCTACATAGTTCGGGTGCTCAAATTAAACATAGGCCTACATTGAAACTCAAATTGGCTTTATTAATAATATTTTTGCTTATGTACCTGTATTATCAACAAACACTTTCTGAAATCGTTTTAAAACAGCTTAAAAATGCTCAGATCGTCGGGGGTTGGTGGGGGTGGTTCCCCTGCCACTTGGGCCCCCCCCCCAGCCAACTGGTATAGTCTCTCGCGCATTTTCAATCTCTCAGGTTGGTAACTATGAATAAACAACCAAGAAACTACCGGGTTGCTGGTTAATTTGCAAGGTACTACATAGCTCAACTATTTTTTTTGACTTAGGAGTTTGGTAAAAATCGCAACAAATCATACGACGCAACGCGATTTTGAGATTAATTTTCCGAATAAATACTAAATAACTTCTAATAACGAACTATTGTCTTCAGTTGTCTTTGTTGGTCATTCAACTGTCATTTTATCTATTTTTTCGGTGATATTACCATTCTAAATAATGTATAAAACACCCGCATATCAAGATCGTTCAGTGGGAACGCCGTGTTGACGCCGGTAGGGTCAATTTTCGTTGGAAGGTATCTAGATGATAAACAGTTTCATTGGACTAAATTCTTGCTTATGTTAACCACATGCTTATCTAAGATTATACTGACATTGGTTTCAAATGAAATAACTGACAACTTTGGTTTGTATTAATATTTTAATAAGTACATAAAACTATGTCACAAATATGTAAGCAAAAATGCACAGGGACATCACGCTGTTTTTAGTATTTTTCTTGAAATCTGTATGCCTGATCACCTTCATCATACACAGTATAATAGATTCAAGTAAGATGTTTCAAATGATATAAAAATGTATGCAAACATGCCTTTGGAACAGGTTTTTTTACGAGTTTTATTTACCTTAACGTCGACTCCGTCTTAGAAAGCACCAGTGTACGTAACGTACGGGTCATAATACCGTAATATTATACAAAAGGAAAAAATCGTTTATAGTAGAAATTGTGCACTTTTGAGTTTGTAAAAACACTGGCCTAGTAAGTGTTTTAACAACGTTAAGTACATTGTTTTCACAATAAATTTAGCCCCTGATAACCGCTGCACCATGAAATCGATCTAGTGTTTCTGTAACACTTAATTTAATGCAAATGATGACTGGGATATATCTTTGCAGATACGAAAATCAGTTGCATCAGAATATTTATAAATTTAATCTTAATAGCTCCTATCGTACATTCTTTATTTTCTTCTAAGCTTAACATACATTCTTTCATCTTGGTAAAATATCATATAATTTTAATAATTATTCTATTTTCAATATTCTCCTATACCAACGGTTGATGTTAAAGTAAAAATCAGTAACTTCATAACTCCATATGAATTAACCGTTGATTAAAAGTAAAATAGACATTGCATGTTAAAATAAAGGCCGTAGAAGACGTATTAAAATGTTAAGGGAATGAGGGAGGATGTCAGTAAGATGGAGGACTTAGTGAATCAATTGGTATCAAACCCCATAATAAAGATTTGTATATTTCTCTTTGAACTTAATGTTGATCTTCTTTTATCTTCTCTTTTTGAATTACAGCCCCTACATTTGGTAAGTAAATACGATTTTATAACTTAGATTAAAAATGCAATGACTAATTTGTTTCTTGCATAAACCTTTGAATCTGGTGGAAATCAATTTAAGGGGTTAAAATGTGTGTAAATTAGATTTTTTGTTTGATCCTGGATGAGATTTAAATAAGATACGATAGAATAAACATTATTGTCATAGTCACAACACAGCTACATGAACAAAGTTGCTTAATGTACTCCCCGTAGTACAAGAAAATAAAATAGAAGAAAATATAAACATGGAAAACTTTATTCTCCGTCGGACACGGTTCTAGTATTTATGAGTCTCGACATTATTTGTTTCTTTTAAATTGGCTGTTTAAATTTAGTTTTAGGCTTTTTTCCAAAATGTTTACTGACATGAAACTATATTTCTCTATGTAAAAAATAATGTAAAGGTATCTGGCCTTTAGATTTATAATCAAAGAGTGTAATACGGTGTGTAAGTCGATGTACTTGCTATTAAATGTGAATTCATTTAGAAAAATGACAAAAGAAGACACATGCATTATTTACACGTAAAATATAATAGAAATATATAACATTGTTAATAAATTAGAATTTAATAGTTTGTAAACATAGACATGAGGCATTTTATAAGAAGCAATATTAAAGAATAAGTTAATACTTATACAAAATTAGAGAAAAACTTTTAAAAAAATGTTAAAATAATTAAAAGAATATTTCCGAAAATGATTTATTGATTTATAGCCGACGGTGATCCCCATTTTTTGATACATGTGCCTCAATCTGATATGTACGTTTGCTTTAACATCATGGGACTCACTGGCGAGCATTACCGACTCATCCAAGATCCTGAACTCGGTAAGATATAATTATATGTTATATTTGAAGAAATAATTTCATTTCATTGTTAATAAGAATGATATGATTTAGACAATGTGCAGCACAAAGACACATGATAATAAGGAGCTTTCTATTGCACGACGACGGAGGACGTAGAACGTAAAATATATTTTTTAACAACAAAAAATATTGATTGATTGAATTTATTTTCTACCATTAACCGAGAACAACACATACAAGTTGAAGACATATTTTAATTGGTTCACACAAGTAATTAAAACAAATACAAACACAAGTTTCGTTTGACAAATTGAATCGATTACCACATAATATAAACGTAAACTTTACGACAAATTACCTGTACCCATTAAACTATTCTTAAAAAGTTAATTTAAAATCTCCAATGAATCAAAATGACCTGTAATATTGTGGGATAAATAGCATTTTTTTTTCAAATATCTTTAAAGGTTTGTCTACATGATGTGCCTATATATGGTCATGATATGCCCATATATAGTCATGATGTGCCTATATATGGTCATGATGTGATGTCATCATGACCATATTTAGGCATGTCACATGTTTTTGTCAAATGAACTTTGATAGTCTGTAGAGGGCTTTACAATTTGATTTAGTGCTAGAGCTACCTCATTTTCTATGTAAAGATAAAATTATTCTTTATAATTAATGTGTAATTCAATTATGCAGATCTGTGGTTCAGATGCCTCCTTTTGCATTACAGGTTCCAACCGGGCCTGATCCAAAATTCCTGCTTGATTTTAACAAAGACCATATCATTTACATGTAGACTTACATATAGATTTATTAATTTGATTAATAAATCTTTATTTTACTTGATACTTGGTGGTTATTCTCTTGAACACTTCATTTAGAAGTCTGGCAAAGAGGCGAATCTATTTAGTTAAATATATTATTGAAGTAATAATTTCAGAAAATAAATGGTAGAAAATTATACCATTATATGGAAAAGATGTAGCTTAAACTTAGTGACGGTTTACAAAAGTCTTTTTACAGACATCCCTACCACCATAAACCATAAAGATTAATTTTATTATTTATACCTCTAAAAGTATCAATGCTGTACGTCTCACACATTCCCACTTCCACCACCAGAATGCGTCTTGATGTTATCCATCTATATAACCATCCTCCAATACACCATTTGAGAATGTTTTAGACATGGCTTTAACTCTTCGTTCACACATAGATAATCAAGTAAAATGAATGATGCAGTTTTCTTTGAAATGTTGATCTTGAAAGGCCTATTGAAAAGAAAACCAACGCATATTTTTTCAACAGAATGATTTGTATACAAATGTTGTGTGTTATTGTTAGTATTACTATTCCAACCTTAATAGAGTTATCAAGGGTTGTACTTATAAGTATTGTTGCAGAGCAAAAGCAGATATTACTTGACTATCCTACGAACTTATTTTAAAAATCATAATTTTGTTATTTTTACATTGCGAAGGTATCACTGTTACCGGCAACATTATCGAGGAGCCAATTATCCGACCTGGAAAACATCGAAAGCGTTCCTACTTTGGAGATGTGACCTTTGTTATTGGAAATAAAACGATAATCGTTAGCCCATCGCAGATAACTTTCGATAAGGTGCACACCTTTACATGGGATTATAACTTAGCCGTCGGTTTTCCGGATTTATCGATTAGCATCGTGAACAAACGATTTGTCCGTGTCAACATCCAACCAGATATCACTTTAGTTGCAATGCGACATGCGGTGACCGGCAACAACACTATGAAGGTTGGGTACATGGGAGTGTACATCGAAAACGGAGAGGGATTGTCAGACAATGTTCATGGATTGATTGGTAAATATTTATCTTAATGTTAATTTGTCCTTCGGCGGAAAAAAAATACTATAATTTAAAATCTTGGGAAAACACTTTAAAAATATAACTACGATTTGTAAATAAAGAAAGAAAGCAACACATAATAATTAGTATTGTTTTTGTTTTTGAAGAAAAAAACAAGCCCTCAAATTTGCAAAATTGACATGTTTTAATATTACTTGACGTCACAATCACAATCCACTAATAAGTTTTATACATACATGCATATATATATATATACTGTCTCTTATACACATCTAGATGTGTATAAGAGACAGTATTTACAGTATATGGATAGTAAATTGAGAGTATAGTATAATTTTTAATTATAGCATAAATATTATAATTTTTACGAATTATTTACTGTCTTCGAGTTTGCCGCTAGCGTGGGGACGCTAAGCGAATCTTTTACTATAAATATTTATGTATCACGTGTGTAATATGCTATATGCCGATTGGCCAACTAGGTTTATGGCTTACTGTTATCTGAAGCCACTTCCTTTGGAGATTTCTTTGTTCTCCAGAGCTTTCTTTGTTTTCGGACAACAGATTGTATTAATTAATGATTGAAGTAATCTGTGACAATGTTTTGTATGATTCAGTAATCACAATTAAGACTTTAGTACAT